CACTTATGTTGGTGTTATGGGAGAATGGGAGATCAGCACCATCCTTTGATTCAAGGTTTAACCGTCCAACCTGTTGACACCACAATGTGGTGCAGCCCCTCATGTCCATCCACCGCTCAGTAGTGGGACTCTGCATTGCTGTAGTGAACTGTTGGGGGTGCCCCATATGAATCTATCTTGACTTGTGGGCTACAGAGTAATATGTTAAATAGAGGGTGTCCACTTCCTTATTATCAATTGGTTTTAAGAAAGATATGACTGCTATATAACCACAGAACTCTGCAGTTAAGCGAGCCCGGGATAAGAAAGCTCATCCTGACCCACTGGGAAGTTTGTCGAAAGGGGTGAATCGATCCAACAAATTCTCTAAATACGATTAAAACAAGGATAATGTTCATAAATACTACTATCATCGTTTTATTTTCAAAATAAGACTCATGCATTCACTCCTAGTTTAGGACATTTTAATCAACTTATTCTTGTAATAGAACTAAATAAGTCCTACTTTGGAACTTTGTGTATGTTTAGTTCTATATTGAGCAATTCTGAAAAATATAATCAATAAAGTCATCTTGATGAAACTACTAAACTACTTAATCAATAACTCTTGCAAGTTATTTCTCAACCAAAAAGTGATGAAACTACTAAACTGTGTAAACAGTCATATATATAATTGAAAATTTAATTTTAAAATATAGAAATATGATTTAAAATAGGAGAGTAACAATGTAGAAATACATAACTAATTTCAAAACGTTCAGAAAATGAAATGTAAAAAACATAATGTTAAAAAAATATGTAGAATTTATAAATAATCTAAAAACGCAGAAAGAGTAGATTTTTGCATTTTTATTTTACTCATGATTGATTTGCTTTTTTCAAATTTTTACATTTTTCTTAGGCTATTCTTTCAAAAACAATCTCTTACAATATATCAGAAATCAGCACTAATAAAATTAAGTAAATATAATTATATGATACTTCAATTTTTAATATAATGATTTGAGTAATAGAAGAACTATTTAGATAGTCTTCCCAAAATTGAATTAGCTTCGAATGGAGGATATTGTTAGGGAATTTAAATAAATAAATAAATAAATAAATAAATAAATAAATAAATAAATAAATAAATAAATAAATAAATAAATAAATAAATAAATAAATAAATAAATAAATAAATAAATAAATAAATAAATAAATAAATAAATAAATAAATAAATAAATAAATAAATAAATAGATAGATAAATAAATAGATAAATAAATAGATAAATAAATAAATAAATAAATAAATAAATAAATAAATAAATAAATAAATAAATAAATAAATAAATAAATAAATAAATAAATAAATAAATAAATAAATAAATAAATAAATAAATAAATAAATAAATAAACAAACAAACTTGATTCGCAGGTGGAGCTTGTGGGTATGAACCGCACAAGCAAGCGTATGGTGCATTCACAACAGCTTTAAGCATGGTCCTGTATAACAAGGCAGGAAGATGTGGAGCCTGCTATGAAATCAGATGCGTTAACAGCAAGTTTTGCAAGCCCGGCGGCCACTCTGTCGTTGTGACGGCCACCGATTTTTGCCCTCCCAATTTCGCCGACAGCAAAGCATGGTGCAATCCTCCGAACCCACATTTTGACTTGTCTCAGCCCGCCTTTCTCCAACTTGCCGAGTACAAAGCTGGCGTCGTCCCCGTCCAATACCGCAGGTACGTACATTATAATATGAGAAAATTGCACTTCTCTCTGATGCAACAATGTGACAGTACACATGCATGTGACAGTACATTTTTCGGTTTCTTTCCACTATTCTATACATATGTCCTGAAAAGAAATTCTCAGTTTCCTTTTATGGATGTCCCAAAAAGAAGTTATCGTTTCTATAAAGGAAACCACTTTTATCTCAAAATATGTGTGTAGTCAAACCGGTAACTTCATTTTGGGACGGAGGGAGTATAACTTTGATAACTTTTCCACAATAATGCCAAACACAATGTGTACATCTAGTCACTCTTCTTGATATTGTGGGGAAAAACTTATCAAAAACATATAAAGTCTTTCAAATAAGGAGGGAGAGATACTGCTTATTATAGAGTAATATTTATGTGTCTGTCTTTCTTATGTCACGTGTATATGAATGTTGAGTGGTGATTATTCTCTTACCAAAATGGGATTGATTGATTTTTATTTTGGGAAATTTTTATTGTTTTATAATTTTATTCGTTTTAATATGTCTAAATAAGGTTTGTGGTGGATGTAGGGTTCCATGCAAGAGAAAAGGAGGAGCGAGATTCACAATTGAAGGGAACACCTTCTTTAACCTGGTGACGGTGACAAATGTGGGAGGAGCAGGAGACATTGCGAGGGTTGACGTTCAAGCCGAAGGGACCCGGCGGTGGATACCGTTGAAGCGCAACTGGGGAGAGAAGTGGGAAACGGACGAGAAGCTGGCCGGAAAAGCCCTCACCTTCAGGGTCACAACAAGCGACGGCAGGGTCTTGGCTGCTCACAACGTCGCACCAAAAGCGTGGCAGTTTGGCCAAACCTACCAGGGCCGCCAAAACCTTTAATTTCATCCACCTGCTAGCTAGCTGCAGGAACGGAACTCACTTGAATCAAAACAATATCAATCCCTTGAATGACAAGGAGATATTTTCAATTTCTCAAGTGTCTTCCGTTTTCAACAACGCACATTTTATATGTAGACTAAATATCGATCATATCAGTCCGCCTTACGGGATTTCCGTTTCACGGGCTTCATTTTTGCCAAAAAATATGAATTAAATGGTCCAATTTTTTACTCATTAATCTTAAAATCAACTTCAATCGTTAGATCTTAAATAAATATGTTTGACGGTTGAACCTACAAACTCACTTTTTCACTTCTAATACTCCGTACTTGTTTGATGGTTAAAATTAATTCATCTATAATATGTGGATGATATGTTGATTGTTAGTCCTTCGGATGACGCCATTAAATGTGCACAAAAGCATCTCAGCGAAAATTTTGCAATGAAAGACCTAGGTGATGCCAAAAGGATCCTAGCTAGGCATTAACATTGTTAGGGATAGGAGTAAGCGTGTGTTGGTTCTCAATCGGATTTCGTACATTGAAAAGATTTTGAGTAAATGTAACATGCATTCTGCTACTCCCGTTTCTATCCTTATGGCGTCTCACTTTGTGTTATGTAAGGATCAGTCTCCCCAGACTGCTTCTGAAATTGCTAAAATGAAATTTGTGCTTTATTCCAATGTTATTGGGTCCGTGATGTATCTCATGGTGAGTACTCGACCCGACATTGCCTATGCTGTTAGTTGTTTGAGTATGTATATGTCTAACCCTAGTTCAGATCATTGGAATGCTCTTAAGTGGTTGTTTAGGTACTTGAAATCTACTGTTAATCATGGGCTTATTTTCACTAGGTGTTCTGATGATGTTAAGTTGAGTGGGTATGTGGACTCTAATTTTGCTAACGATAGAGATAATAGGAAATCCACTACCTCTTGTGTGTTTACTCTTTGCGGGTCTTGCATTAGTTGGAAGTCTCAACTTCAACCCATAGTAGCCCTATCCACCACTGAGTCTGAGTATGTGGCCGCTACCGAAGCGTTTAAGGAAGCCATTTGGCTTAAGCGTCTCCTAACGGAGATTGGTAGTCTTAAACAGGATATTTGTGTGTTTTCTGATAGTCAATCTGCTATTCAACTGTGCAAAAATCCTGTTTTTCATGATAGAACTAAGCATATTGGTGTTAGATTTCATTTTATACGGGATATTGTTAGTGCAGGTCATATCAAGTTGATTAAAATTCCATCGGAGTTTAATCCTGCTGACATGGGGACTAAATGTCTCTCTGTCGAAAAGTTGTTGTCATGCAAACGCTCATTAAACATTGATTGCGGATAAGTTGCCTGGTGATCTTACCCCTTTTGCCTGAATGCGTCTTTGTGCTCATTCGGGCAATCCAGCGATGATGATTCTCAAATATGTTTTAGAGTTTTGACTCTACACCACTAGGGTTCAATAAGGTAGAGAATGCGTTGGTATTGGTCCGCTTGTCCTTAAGCCCAACTCATTGGAGGAGTACCCGACCCATTTCCGCCTCTTACTAGCTGTTCGCAGCGCCTATCTCCTTCCTGCCTGCGAAATTCGTTCTTTCCTTGGACGATCCCTGCGTATCTCCCTACTTGGTAAGTTACCATATCTGTCTTCAGTGTTCCGCCTATTAATATCTTGCTTCCGTCTGCGATTGAAGGCTGGCCAAAATTAAAACCCTCGCTTTCCCCAAAAATCTCCTCTGTGGAACCCTACTTTGAATTGGTCGTAAAGCTTGAAGGCAGATGCCCATTCCTCCCCATTTGTGATCCTAGTGTGTGAAATTCATCCTTTGTGGATGAAATAGATGAGACCTGAGCTGGATTTAGACCTTACAGAAAATAAGCTTAGAAAAGTAATACTCTAGTACTCAGTGCATAGTAACAATTGGTAGTGTTGAAAAAGTGAACATGGCCTTGTACTTTGTTCCAAAATAGAGTGAAAACGTTTTGGAATTCCAAAATAGGAGTAATACATTTTTATTTTCCCTAAATAGAAGAAATTATTGTCATATTTAAAGTGTGATAATGTCGGATATACGTCACGTGAACATGGCCTTGTACTTTGTTCTATGCTTTGTCTTCTCATTATCACGTCGTCCTCATAAAAGTTGTAGATGATTAAGGTAGTTACGTTATCTTTCCAACTCTATTTGAATAAACAATTTGGGTCAATGAGACAATGACCATCCCACATTGATGGAGTACTAGTATATATGGTTCATATTTGTTCAAGAAAATAATAAAAAGTGGTAACTGTATTTCTCAAGATCAATATCAACTTTGTTTATAAAAAAAGATCAATATCAACTTGAACCTAGTTTAAACACGTACGTACTCTAATGACGACAATGATAAGATTAATTAAACTTAAAGGGTTGAAGTATATTTCCCCCTCAATTGAGTACATTCAACAAATATAGATCATTTTCACTAAACATCAATTATAAGGTCACTATTTTCGTGGGCATGGATTTGATTGAGATGTGATGGAGGATTGGGTGAGGTAAATAGCCAGTCATCACCATCAATATACGAGGTAGTCAAGTACGGAGCAGCCTCAGATTTATCCAGTTGAGTTGCATATGATGCCCTATATGTGAAGCTAGCTCCCGGTCCACTGCAATCATATTCCCCAAAGTAAACCGTCCTACGCACAAATTAAATACATGCATTCATAGCCAAACGTTAGTTATATATTGATGATAATGCACAAATTAGATATGCTCATTAACTACTTTGATATTAAATTCTTAGTACTACTTTGAGTATACTACTCCGTATTATACTCGAAGTATGAAGCAGTATGTAATCATATGACCACCCACCATAGGTGGAAGACTTTGTGGCACTGGAATAATGATGATGATTATGAGCATGTAATCATATGATTCGTAGCGGAGCTAGAAATATTTTTGAAACGGGGGTACGACTTCAAACTAATTACTTGTCTCTAGTTGAGTTGTTCCAATCGTTCCAGCCATCGGGGGAAACTACGCTGGACATGTACGTCAAAGAGAAGATGACTGTTGCATAAGGCCCCCATGCTCGCCCCAGCCACACCCTTCCACTCCCACCAATGTTACAGTTCACGAATGAGAACCCGGTTTCCTCTTCCTCCGAGCCCCTCCTATGTGCAGTTATTGATCCACTTACCTCTCCGCCCGCTGCTTCTTCTGCTATGCTGTGTATTGTGCAATCCTGCATCATGCATGTACATGAGGAAACACTCAACATGCATGTTCACTCTCAACATATTCGGTCATATGCAATTCTACGAAAATACCTGGTAGAATGACCGGGCGTTCCCAAAGATGAAGTCAATAGAACCCTGAATGAAGCAATCTTTGAAATAATGTCTTCCTTTCTCATCATTAAGGGTGTCTTGAGCTCCATAGAACCCACATCCATAAAATGCACATTGATCTCCGAGAATACTAAGGGCCACAGCCTGGCCTCCAGATTCGCCCGATGGTGGCGCTCGAGCTGTGTTCTTTTAATTTCCAACAATCATCTCCATTAATTTTCAAATTAACTATTGGATTGTGATATGCGTAGTATATGCAACAGTTATTATGTACTCGTACTTTTTTGAAAGTTTTGTGTGGTTAATTGACGTGCACTTTGTCGTGAGTGCACTCAAATCCCTTTCAACACTAACACTTATACGTAGTATAGTGTAGTAGAGTTCGTATCCACAGGGAAAGGAATAACTTTCTTTTTATATAAATAGTAAGTAAAAGGGGGGGTTTTGATTGTGGAGTGATTTAATTAAATTAAACACGAAGATGAACGATTTATATGGGATTTAATTCAAAGATAAAAGGGACTTGGTCTTGCTACTTTCCACTTGTTGATATATTTTAGTCGATCATTGTTATATCCATAACTTATCCCCTCTCGAATACTCAATCGCGGAGTATAACCAGTTCATCGAGGGTAGTTATTAACAACGACCGTTCATTAATAACCCTTACTATTAATCAAATATAGAACAACGCCGTATACCGATATAATAGTAGCATTCAATCTATTTAACTCCTTGATGAAATCAATTGAGATTGATAACCTCAACGCAACGGTTTCGGTTTAACCAACAAAATTGATCCCTCTTAAGTTTATTAACCACGACCGTGCATTAACAAACCGAAGTTACTTACTTGTGAAACTATCAACGATTAACCATTGGTTCGTTGATCGTTTCTAGTAATAATCAATGTTGGAACGTTAACTAATCGTCACTTAGCAACCCTCCAACAATGATGTAGAATGAGATTAAGGGAAGAATTAATAATCAAGAAGAGAGAGTAAGAAAATAACTCACAACTTTAATAATCAATCAAGCTTCAAGAGCAAAACCAAGAAATGGAAGTTTAGCTCCTCATTTGGAGACTAAACATGCTATAAAAAATATAAAAGAAATACTATTCTAAACTGAGCTTAAAAGTATAAAGGAATTGGTGTCCTAAAAGTGAAGGAAAGGAGGTGTATTTATAGGCTTTTTGAGGTGCAGGTCGAGTACTCGATCGAGTATATATACATACTCGATCGAGTATGTGTAGAACATCGAATTCGCCCTATACTCGATCAATACTCGGGTAGTTTTTATAGCTATACCCGATCGAGTATATAAGTATACCCGATCGGGTATAGACACTCGAACGTGGGAAAATCTTCTCCTGCATGTTCCTTTGTTTTCGGATCCGATCCGATTTGAAATGTCAACCAGATACCCGATCGAGTATATGTATATACTCGACCGAGTATAGACCAATAATCAAGATTTTTCCTACTTTTTGTCTTGTACTCTTGCACCTTCCTTCACCATTGATCATTTGATTGATCTTGGACCTGTTTAGGCTCAGAATAAACCTAATCTAAACAAATTACAAGAATTTAACAAACTAAACTATTACACCGAAAGTGTGTAATTTCCGAAATATTAAACAATCAAAATTAACTAAAAGCGTAAATAAACATACGGAAATTACAAACGTATCAACTCCCCCACACTTAGTTCTTTACTCGTCCTCGAGTAAAGTCAAATGTTCAAACAGTTTAAGACCATTCCATGAGTTCAAGAAAGAAATGAACTAAGATCACCAAGAAAAATGATTTTACAAACAACTTTCTTTCTTGGGTTTTATGATCTTCTATGCTCCATCTTCTTGCCTCTTCTTCTTTGCCTTCTCTTCTTTTCTCCTCAAGAGATCAAATGAGTTCCTGCACATAACAAATATTTCTCTCATATCTCTCATTTTGCCTAGGAGCCTTTTCAGGTTTTCATCCTAGCATCTCTTTTTGTTTTTCCATCCTCACTAACTCACTCATTTTTTTATAAGCCATTTTTTTGCTTAGATTGCCCATTTTTGGGTTTTCAACCTAACTAGCATTTTAATTCTTTTATCCATTTTTCTCTTCTTTTTTTTTTTTTTTTTTTTTTGTTTACAAAGGGTAAAAGAAATTCATGCATAGTAAAAGGTAGAAAATGAAATTACATACCATGAGTAATCTCCTCCCCCACACTTAGTTGAAGCACTGTCCCTAGTGCCCGCCTTCTCCGCCGTAGAAACCGCCTCCAAAGCCTCCTCCAAAGCTCCCATCGCCCATGTGGGTGTCGCCGCCATCATCCCCTCCATCAAAACCTCCACCCCCGGAGCTAGATCCTCCGAAATTGCCCCATTGAGTGGGGTCATACCAAGAGGGGGGTGGTGGTGGTTGAGCCATGGTGTGGAATTGGCCTTGATGAGCCATGTAGGAATACATAGGTCCATAGAACCTACGTTGATCTTCTTCATACCTTCGGTTATCTTCGGCCCGTTGCTCCTCTAGTCTTTGAAATCCCGCCCTTTGTTCCTCCCGGTATTTACCAACTTCATTGGTAACTCTATTGAATCCGTCAAGCAGTTGTTGGAAGTAAGCGGGAGGTGGGGAAGCTTGGTTCGGTTCGGGCATGTGGTGATGTGCAACCTCGGGTTCTTGATACTCGGGTTGAGGCTCTTGGTCGGGTTGGTCTTCGGGGAGATCTTGGGCTTGCGGTTCTTGGAGATGTGGTGGAAGGGCGTGAGGGAATAGATAGTGAGGCTCCTCGAACTCCGGTCTGTAGCGTAGTTTGGGGGTGTCCGGGTTTGGCATTAGGAAGTATTGCACAGGTTGTACGTGTATGACCCAATTGTACATGTTTTTTGGTCGGTCTCCAATATAGACCGTGTGGGAGAAAGATGTACATCCCGAGCGTCCTAGCCAACCTATATCCATTAAGCAATAGTCGGGTATAGGGGAGTTATCCGTATATCCGAACCTACTTGCCAAGTGCATTATCACTCCACCCACAACTATTGTCCCTTTTGCTGAGCTTTCTTTCTTTAAATTTGCCCACATGAGATTGCACAGATTAAAGTCCACGTGGCGACGGAATAAGGCCACGGATATCAAACACACGTCCCCGATTCTAGTGTGATGGTTGTTGGGACGGCCAAGCAAACAATTCGCCAAAAATTTTAGGAACAACCGGAGCACGGGGTGTTGGACATGACTAATATACATTTGGGAGGATTTAAAGTTCACTTCCCCGGTCATCTTTGTCCATAGGGAGTGCCCAAAAATGGTGTTATCCGAGATGGTTCTCTCGTAGGGCACCGGGATGCCAAAATGTTCAGCAAACTCGAGTTTCGTGATTGAATAGTTTTGGTTAAATAGACGAAACTCGAGTTTATCATCCCTAAAATCCGTCTCATCACTCTCAAACTTCACCGAACTCAAGAATTCGTAGATAATTCGTTCATTAGAATTGTACTTCATATTGAAAATACGGTCCATATCTAATGCATGAAAGAATTTTCTACAGCTCTTATAGACTCCTAATTCACGTAGAGCATCATGGCATAGAAAACGGGAAGGTTTTACTTGCCTTTGTGTTGTTGCTAGGAGTCTAGTTCGGTGCTCGGCGTCGGCGGGAATGATGTCTTCAAAACCCGGAATAGGTGCTATGGTGCTTGAGCTCTCTCCCCTATTCTTCCTTGGTGCCATTGTTGATGAATTTGAGCTTGAAATCCAAAAATTCGAATGGGGGTAGGGTTTTTTTTGGATTTGTTGGATATTTGGGGAAAAGGGGATTTTTGGGTATAGATATGGAGAGGAGAGTGAGGGGGGTATTTTGGTGGTGAAATGGGATGATTTGGTGAAGGATTGGGTGAGATATGGTAGAGAGAAGGTCCAAAAATGGAGTTTTTGGGGGAGGGTTGTTCGAAGTTGGGGAGAGTTTGGGGAAGATGAAGTGTTTTTGGGGTTAATTTGGTGTTATATCCGCAGGGGTACCCGATCGAGTATCCCTGTATACCCGATCGGGTACCGGAGGCAGGGTTCCAGGAAGGCTGATTTCGGTGTATACTCGACCGAGTATGTACCTATACTCGATCGCGTACAGGAGGCAGGGGGTCAGAGAAGTTGTTTTTGCACCTATACTCGACCGAGTATTGATATGTACTCGATCGGGTATAGGAGGCAGGGGTTATTTGTTTTCATTTTTCCACAAATACTCGATCGAGTATGGGTATGTGCTCGATCGGGCCTCAGAGGCAGGCTTCCGATGGAGTTGATTTTCCAGGCATACTCGACCGGGTATGTTCCAATACTCGATCGAGTATGCCTGTATCTTTGAAAATAGATTTGCACCTCGATCGAGTATGGGAACCGGGTCCCTTTCTTTTTACCCATACCCGACCGAGTATTGATATAGTACTCGATCGGGCATGTACCCAGATACACTTTTTGCTCATTTTTTTATTTTTTTTATTTTTTGAAACACACACATAATGAAATAAGCTGACAAGAAAACATACCTTGCTTGGGTTGCCTCCCAAGAAGCGCTTTGTTTAACGTCGTGGCTCGACGATATCTTCGTTTCCCTTTCATTCATAGACCGGTTCAGAAAGGTCTATGATCTTCACATACATTTTTCTTACCCAATCTCAACAATATGTACATTTTCACTTTATTCTCATTTCTTAAACTCTGATTTATGGAAAAGAGAGTGATTATAGTTTAAAGAATACACGGAGTATTAAAAGATGTACTCTCTCCCAAAGTAATTTTTTTATCAATGATACTTAAGTTTGACTAATGACATTTTTTAATAAGGAATCATTGTGAATATGAAAATTACATTAAAGTGCTCCGTATTAAAAACTTTGTGCAAACTTTATCATATCATCATTATCAAGAAAAGTCAATATGACAAACAATTTTGGAAATGCATGTGTATAGGCTGGCGGGCAAGGAACCTGAAAGCTGATATTGTAGGCTATGAAATTCGGGGCTAATACAGCAAATGTGTAGCTATTGGTGGTGCCTCCGGTAGAATTTGCAGTGTCGTTCCATGATATGGCAGTGTTGTGGTAACCTTTTCCTTGTATTATCACATTTTGCTTTTTGCTACCCACTATCACTTTTTCCCTGCGCCATCGATCCATTAAATTATCAGCATTCAAATACTACGTACCTACCACCCAATGTAGGTATTAAACTTAATTGAAGGCTGTCTTAGATGAATTTGAAAGTAAAACATACAGTATTGATGGAATACTACCTCCGTCCCAAATTGATTTACAAATTTGACTTTTCTTCATTAAACAGATTCATTTTGTTCGCTTAATTAGGATATCAATTTTTAATTATATTTTAATTCGGAGTTTACAACTTTAAAGAGACTTTAATGTAGCTTATAAATATATATGTAAATTTTAATTATTAAAAATTAAATTTAATATCAATAAGAAGGATTGACTTTTATTATTGGTTGATCAAAAAATGTTAATTAACTTTGCAAAAAAAAAAAAAATTGGGGCGGAGGGGTATTATTTTAGCTCACTTCACATATACAAGCAATCTAGATAGAATTTAGTGTGAATATTAGTGTCCATTTTAATTTTTATACGTAGTATACACCTAGATAGATATTTTTATTGGTATCGATTTTAAATTTTTTGAAAAGTATATACACTTATAATTCAGTGGTAGTTTGACACAACCCTATATATGGCTTGTGCCGTCCCTCGCTTATTAAACGATTTACAAAAGTGGAGGAAGCAAATTTAAACAAGACTCTATAGATGATGGAGTACTTTTTATATGTATTCTATAAAAGGTGTGGTAATGAAGTACTGGAAGAAAAGTATTTTAAAGATGGAGGAGAATTTTTGGGGAGGATTGGAGTAGTAGTTAAGTGTTTTGGAAAAGAGAATTTTATAAAGAGAACTTTTATTGCTAGATATAAGAGATTTCTCAAGTTTTACTAATACAAAATGAGCTAGAAACGCTACTATCAATTAATGGCTAGGATATGCCAAGACAAATCTAATATAATGTCTCTGAATTAATGATTCTCTAGAGTTCTATTCAAGAATATTTACATTCTACACCTTTCTACTATCCAGATAATTCTAAAAGAATTATGTCATGTTGACTATTATTCTAGAACTAGAAATTGGATCATCTATTATGGGCTACCTCTTATTCAGTTATTTGAGCACTTGCTATTTATTAAAAAAATCAGTGGGCTAACCAACCAAATTTTGTTATTCAACATGAGATCATTATAGAGTTTGTCCGAAAGAAGAAAACGAGTAAAAAATGATCAATAAGGAGGATTATTTAATTTTATGATTGATCCATCAATATGATGTTGGCTTTGCACAATACGAAGTACTATCCTCCGTTCTTTAATTCTTGCAACAGTTTGACTTTCACGTTTGTCAACGCACAACTTTGACTGTAATTGTATTTACTTATTATTATTAGTAAACATTATAAAAAAGTTGATATTTTGGAAAGTCACATTGATAGGAATTCAATAACATTTTGTACGTAATAATTATTAGTAATGTTGCAAGAATTAAAGAATGGAGGATGTATATAATTTGTTTAAAAAAGATGACAGACCTGTAGGTGCCGGAATTGATTATGATGAGTGTTATGGAAGGACTGAGATCAGGAACTGCATGAATGGCCATCTTTATACTGCTGAAATTTCCACAACCCTTTGAATCCACAGTGATAACCCTCGAGACACCATACATGGAAACGATGCCAGCAGAGTCCCATGTTAAGTCTCCGCACTTGGCCTTCCGCCGCCGCCGCCTGTGGTGGCGGTGGTGGTGTTTAGAGCTTGCAGTTTGGTCCACGTCCACCGCATAGAGCAGATCTTCAAAGCCAATCTTTTTGAGGATAAAACTGAAACCAACAGAAAAGCAGGGCCATTTCTTTCTGCTTGCGGCGGGAGGAGCACCGCTAGGGGTGGTGGCCGTGTAAAAAAGGTCGCCGAAGTAGACAGAAAGTGTGACGGCACAAAATGCAACGCTTAAGGCTAAAAGCCAAAACAAAATGGTTGATGATCTAACGGCCATGGCTAGCTAGCTCCGGCGCGCACTATATAGGAAACCTAGCTAGCGCAGCTACGCCTTCTTCTTTCTAAATTCAAACCTTCTAAGTTCGAACTTAGTATTGCATTTTAATCATATACGATAGTATATATACTCCGACTTCTTCCCCTATTCACATAATTATATTTTATTTATTAATGTATTATAAATTAATTTTAAAAAATTATTGTTAAATTCTTCTCATTTTAAAGTTTCAAAATATATACTACGTATATTTTTTAACTCTTTTACTACTAAGGTATTAAAGATATTAATAATGGTCAAAATTATGCGTTGGCAAAGTTAAAAGTGAACTGTTGTATTTGAAAAAGAACGGAGGAAGTATATGACCAGCTACATCATTTCGACAGTGTCAAAGAGAGCCAAACACATTTTAGCTTTGATTTCTTGTACGTACTGTGCATTTATTTCTTTGATTTTTCTCCCACATACACCCTAAGATCGACAAGGGAATGCTAGCGAGGCCTTCTCCCAAGAAAAATTTTATGTATATATGTATGTATAAATATTTATAAGCCAGAAAAATACAGTGAAAATTTAAGTTGTGACCCCTAATTAATATAAATTTGCTTAAGCTCCATCCCTTTTAACTTGTCATTTCTAGCTGTCACCGTATAGTACGTATACACATAGTATTAAATTCGAAAAATGAGAGTTAATTTCATCTTAATTAGATTGGGAATTGTACATAATCTAATATAGATGTGCCCATTATCATGAACTACAAGTATAAACAACAGTAGCATTTTGTAAATAAAATTAATTTTTTTGTCGTTTGAGTTATCCATAATTTGAAACAGAAATAGGCATCTCCATGAATTGAATAAAAGTGTCCATGATGGTTGGTTTTGCATCATTCTTAACTTATTCCTCATGGGAACATCAAATCATATTCTCTTTGGAATGACACAATGATCTAATGAAAATGATAATGAAAATGATAATGAAAACAGCACATCCAATTTAAGAATCGTACATCATCTCAATGAAAAATGTACACTGCCATGGAGGCATGGATCAAAATCATTTGATGACGCAGTACATTATTCAGTTATTGTGACTAAATTGAAATGTTCTTTCATCACCAACTTTCCATTATATATATTTTATACTAGTACGAAATCAAATGTGCACTCTTATTAACGAGAAAATATGTTGTATCCTGAACTATTCTTGTTTCTCACGTTTGCAACATTTCACTTGAACCAAACTATATATAAATATCTACTGTCTAATACGTAGTATATACTACGTACTTATATGTTTAAGAAGTTTTTCGATAGAACTAATTAGCTTCATAAAATTTAACAATCTAAACTTTTTATTCTCTACTTAAAAAAGTCTTCGATCAATTCGATGAAACAGTCTATTATTCTTTATATGCAAAAAGCTTTTGAATATAGCTATTTTCTTAGACGGAAAGATTGTTAGTTTTATTTCTTTAATTAGTTTTTTAGTCTACTTCAATGCATGCATTTAAGAATACTTTTGTCCTAATTAACCTTTTGAGAACCATCATTATGCTGATCGTTATTGAGAGCACCTTCTCTCGATCCCTTTAAACAAACATCGTGTTGGCTATGTCGTCCTTGGCTGCTTGAATAATGTTTCCTCAATTCCAAAATGGATGTTGCAATTTGACTTTGCAAGTCAAGCATTATTAAATTTGATCATTCATTTTCCGATGTTGTACGCAATGTTATTTATAAGGGCATCCTCATCCATAGATTATTTTTTGGATCATTTTGATGATGAGGAGGATTTTTTTTTATCATGAATGAGGAGTTGAGATTATTTTATGAGATTATTTGATAAAATAATCTGGTATCAAATTCTAAAGCTAGATTATTTTGAGATTATTTTCAACTTTTAGACTCCTCTCTCCATTATTTTCTAGGCTTATACTCATAATTAAAAAATCTAGGTAAATTGAGATCATGGATGAGGAGAAATATAATTGATAAGTTTGGCGATTATTTGAGATACTCTTATGTGGAAGTGACATGGCAATAAGAAGTCATAAAAAACCGTAAACTTGAGTATATCATGAATGGAGATACTCTAAATCAAATTAAACTTAACGACCTTTTAATGAATTTGTTGCTTAGTAGTCCGTGCATGTTTAATTTTTTAGTAGCCGAAAGCTAGAAATGGGCAGTGAGCTAAGATTGGATGTTGCACACGTCAAGAAATTTTGTTGGAGGTTAGATGCAAAGAATGGATAGCTAATTTGGGCATGTCGATCCATTTTAATTTAATGATGATATTAAGAATGGCCGGTGCCGTCATGGGTTTACTAATTCCCACAAACTAAACTACTATTAATCCTTAATTATGCTCTACCTACAAATAATTTATCATGTTTGATTTTCTCATCGTCATTTGTCAACGATTGCTAAACATAATCTATTTTAATTTGATAGGTTAAAGAGACTACCTCCTTTCGTTCCGTTAATCTGAATCAAGTTAAAGTGACACATAAAGTAAATCAAAATAAAATCCTACGTGGTTTGGACCTTTTAATTTGAGGATTAATTGATTAGAAAGGTTTCAATTTGACTTTGCACCCCACTTTTTGAGTGATATTGAACTTTACACCCCATTTTGAAAAAATTTTGATTTTGCACCCCATTTCACTTAAAATTCCTTTGACTTTACAGTTTGCACCCCATTTAGAAATTTTTCTTCACAAAATGGTATGTGTCGGACTGCAAAGTCAAAGTTTTCTAAAAATGGGGTGTAAAGTCTAATATCACTTTAAAAAGTGGGATGCATAGTCAAATTCTCCCTTTTTCTTCATATAGGTACTATACGGAGCTGCATTTATACTTGCATGGACGAGCCTTTCAAAGGAGTGGTCATTGCTAAGGAAGTAAGGTCGTAAGGAATTTAATTATAACTTGTAATTTGGAATTGTTCATCTCTAATACCGAATAATTGTTTAAGAAATTGTCCAAATCGGATAAAAACATGGTAAAAGGTATAAAATAGAACTTTAAGATTTAGAGCTTTTTAATCACGTATCATATCCTCGGAGTTTCGGATTATCACGAGGTATATTAAAGTAGTCTTCAATTTTTTTTGAAAATCAATAACTTAATTATTATTAATAAGGGTAACCAGAAACATAACAACCAAAAGCCGAAACATTACAATCACAGCGTTCAATGCTACACTAGGGTGAGACAAACAACAAAAAAGCCATACAAAAGCTATCATGTTCGTTAACCCTGCAACTATTTAGACTCGTCCCGCAATTTGACTGCTCGTGCTACTCGAAATAGGTCCGGTTTGACTAGCCACTGAAAAGGATTTGTTAAACTTACCGGTTTTTCCAGCCACCGGTAAGGAGCCAAGTGCCGAAATTGTTCCGGTTTCACCAGCCACCGGAAAGAAAGCAATTCATTCACTTCCATCTTCCTTGATCGGCGGTGGTTCAGGAGGGGGGCGATCGGCCTCTATATTGATACAGAAGAAATCTTGATTCAGGATCGATAGAGAAGCCAATACACATCTCTTACTAACACCCAAGAACACCCGACCGATGATGGCGGGGAATATAAATCCGGCGAGCGACACTTCACCACCGAAAATAATATCTCTAGACAACGCTAGGAAATAGACGTACACATAGAACTGAAAATATTGATCTGACCAAACTTTTTTCATGATTGGAATCCAAAAAAAATTGAACAAAGAGAGGAAGAAAAAGAGGAGGCGACTAGGGTTTCCCTTAGCCACTCCTCTCCTGGAATAGCGACTCTAATGAAACGAAATTGTTTCCACAAAAGTATATTCCTTGGTATGATTCTTAAAATTAAGTAGACTTTAATTATATACGAAGTAGTCTTCAATTATATACGAACTTACAAAGTATATAAATAGTCTTTACCTCGGAATTGAAAGTTATTTCAATTAAAGTAGAAATGTAGAATATCATTTACTCTCTGTAAACTTGTAAAGTATATAAATAGTCTTTAGTTATTTGAATTAGAGTACAATGTAATTTAATCTCTGAAAAGTAGGGGTGGACAGTGGACTCGGGCCGGGCGGGCCGGGCCGGTACTGTTTGGGCCCGGCCCGGTACCCGGTCTTGGAGCCGGTTTGGGACCAAATCGGGCACAAACCGGAACCGGCCCGATTTGGGCCCGGCCCGGCCCAGCCCGAAACCGCCGGCTACCCGGACCGGTTCCGGTTCCACCTTTTCCAAATAAAAGCCCGGCCGGGCCCAGGCCCAAACCGGAACCAGGCCAGCCCGAGTCCACCTCTACTGAAAAGTAATGCTCCGAAGTAAAAATTGCGCAACAACAGTAAATGACGTTTAGTCACCTAAATTTGGCTAATATGATGACAACCACAAACTTTTCACGCATTATGACAATACAAATAAAATGAGCATGGGGGCCCGGAGGTTAAAGATTTACATGAGGAATTGAGGATACAGTTGATAACTATGAACAAAGCATGAATAAACTTATAAAAGGCATAAAACGTCTTTGGACGGATATCTTGTTCTAATGTACACACATTTTTTTTAGTTCAAGTTCTAATGTACACACTTCCGGTACTTCTAATTTTAAATTCTCCGAAGACTCGATATCTCCGAAGACTAAATCACCACGCTCATCGATAATAATAATAAAATAATAATAACAAATTATCTTATATAATTTAAAAAAAAAACTATAACACAGAAAGACTTATAGCTCATCCACGACTGTACTTGGTATCTGCACCACAGCATTAGAGACCTCTGGGCGAATAATTCTACATTGGGGTACCCTTTTTTCTAGCATAGACGATCCTTTAAAGGTAACCATCTGCCAGCAAGTCTTTCTGTATTCCTCAAGCTGCAAAGACAAACCCCATTCACATTATTCATGCAGTTCAATACTTCGTGGCCACATTTGGTTCCCGAAATCAAAATAATGTAATGATAGTAATAATAATAACTCGTACGTGGTCTGGTGGCATCTGTTTGAACCCAAATTTATTTGTCCAAATCGATATAGCATCATAGGCGGCTGGAAGGACACAGGTTTTCAC